AGATCCAGAACATAGCCAAAACCTACTTGGTGGGTTTTTTTGTTTGGTTTGTTAGGTTTTTTTACTTTTTAATTAGAAAAGCTCAGCTCAGCATCCTTATTTTTGGACTTTGGGATCAGCTCACATTGTGATACACAGCCTGATTTTTTTTTATTTTTTTAAAACACAACAAAAAACCCCCCACAAAAACCTGAAAACCCCAACATATGATAGAGAAAATCATAGTTTTGAAAAATATCAGTATTTCCTTGCTACAGAAAACAACACATTCTATTACTGAAAAGGAAACACTAAAAAAATATGAGATACGTGGTCAGTGCCACATGTTGCCTAATGAGTGTCAAGCCTGGAAGCCTGGCAAGCATTTGTTGAAGAAAAGCAAAAGATCTAGAACTTCTTAAGCACCAGCAAAGGGCTACAGGCTGGACCTGCTAATACTCTAAAGCATTTTTCTTAAATCAACAATATGTTCTTTTTATAAAACCTGCAAATTCCACTGTCAGTTCTGAAAGCTTGTAAAACGATCTTGTCAAAAAAACAGTCTGAACCCACCACTTTCTGGGTTTCTGCATGTTAATAACTTCCTCAGATTTCCAGCATTGGTGTTTACTGAAATCTGTCCACCTGCTTCATGTTGAGGCTGGATGACAGTTTGTACATTCTACTGCATCAGTTTCAGAACAAGAAATGTTCAGGTGACTCTGGGTAGTCTTCCAAATATGCTGTTATCAACATCATTCTTACACTAACAAGTCCCTGAGAATAAATCCACTAACAGAATGTATTTTTATTATGACTCTTGCAGGAAATTCATCCATTTCCAGATTGGTCACTTTACCAGGCAGTGGGTTACCCACATTTCTCACTTGCTCTGGTTGGTTGCGTCTAGATAGCAAACTTTTGCACATGCAATCCAAACCCACACCAGCTTGCAGTTCCTATTTTAACCCACTGAAAGTGGCTTCTGCAAAATCTTTCTCAGTATTGCAGCTTCCCAAACAAATCTCTGCTGTGAGAATTTTTGTAAGTGTTCTTCCACAAACACATCTAGCTCAGAAAATACCACAAAAATTTTCTCCCCATCCTACAGGTTTTGGGTTCATTGAACTTTCCCCATGCACAGCTATTTAGTGCAGAAAAAGGTATGTAAAAATACCATCTTTCTGAAGAAGGCATAGTTCCAACAGTTGTTTAACTGTAGAGACCCTAATAGATACCTCCAAAAGGTGATGATGTTCTAATAAAAGGCTTTTTAAATCGTTACAGCTATAGTCTTAATTGTAGACCCACAGAATTAGCCCTATATGTAGCCCTATAAATGCAGTCCTAATGTAATACTGGCCTTTTTTTAACAAGGCTTGTACATCTCATGACACAGAACAGGCAGTAACAACCTCATCAACTATGAAGATACGAAGGAAAAACGGAATATGTCTTACAAACTGCATCCCTGGATCTCTAAACCACTCCACAAAAAAAAAAATAATAAAAATGTCCCAGATTTAAAATTAATTGGAGTCTTCTTTAATGGACTGGGTTACAGAACAGCATATGCTTATTAAATTTGCAGGCAATACTAAACTGAGTTGGAATTCAGAGCTTTTCAAATCTGTGAGAAGGGTCTGAAAGAAGGAGGATATGATTAAAAAAATGTAAGTACAAATTTCTCTGGTAGTGCTAATTGCAAGTCAGAGAATGATAAAATGGAGCTAGAATCTGCAGGGAAAAGATCTAGTGGCTATGACAACTCAAAAGCTAGCAATGAGTCAGTCATCATTCTACTGCAAAAGAGAGCCCTTAGTAGGTTGTATAAATAGAACCAGCCCTTCTCTCCAAGGAATGTGAAATAAACTTTCTATGGCACTTCTAGTGCCATGGCTGAGCACTGTGCAGAATTCTGCATGAGACCCACCTAGAGACTGCAGGGAGTCAGCCATTGAGGGAGAGCTGATGATTGACAGGTAAGTTTAGTCCAAAGCACCGCTCCTCACACTGGAGGCAAGAGCTGGCAGGCTGGGGCACACTGCCTGGCTGGGGGTCCACATCCTGACTGCAAGACCGGACAGTGAGAGCCGAGCTGGAGGCAGCACAAAAGAGCAAAGGAAACTAACTAACTCGTGAAGACGTGGAAGGGGTGGGGATTGATGTACATGCATGCATGCATGTTGTAATCATCATCATCAGCAGCAAGGCTTATTCCAGACTGAGTCAGGGACCTACTGATTTAGAGTAGTGATGGGAAATAGAGTGGTATCCCTGAGTATAAGCATACACTGCTAAATGCCCTTCATCACCAGGAGCTTTAAGAGTATTTAAAGAGTATTTGTAACAAACAGTTTGAGGTTCCCCTGGAGCTAGAAGGATAGGCAGAGCACATTTCAAGGAACCTTTTATTTGCTATTATTCGTTTTTTCAATACTATCCTGCAACTTCAGTAGTGTGCTTGTCAGCTGCCATATGGATTGTTATTATGGCCTCAAACCGCTAGCATAGATCTAAGCAGCACTTCAAAAGAAACAGTTCCCATTTTAATACATTGCAGCTTATTATTACCTTTCATTTTTTTTCTAACAGGCAGATTTCATACTATGTGACGGCGTTAACAAAAGGCAAACCACTCCTCTTTCTCTGTAGATAAGATTTAGGAGATACGTGTGCTTCAAAACAGCTCCAGAATTTCACTGGCAGCTCTGAAGTGCTTTGTAATTTGATGCAAAAGAGCAAGCCTAACCTAAGACAGCTTTGCAGTTAAAATGGCCAAATCCTCATTCATCAGTTTAGGACTACTTTGTTCCTGGAAAACCCATTACAATTTTGTTCATTGTTCAAGTACCTCCTGCTTTTTCTTTTTTCAATGACAATAATAGTACAGTAGTGTTCCTTAATGGTGGTTTGTCCATTGCTTTCTATGACTTTTCACAAAGTCTTCATTAGTGTCAGGATTGCTGAGGCACACATTATCTTTTTATAAGGGCTTTTATGAACTTATCACTTAAGGCTTACGAAAAATTGTTGCTTCATTCTTTTTGTTCTGAGAGGTTCAGCTGAACTTTTCTGTCCTGGTTTTGGCTGGGATAAAGTTAATTTTCTTCTTAATAGTTAGAACAGTGCTATGTTTTGGATTTGTTATGAAACAAATGTTGATAATACACTGATATTTTTAGTTGTTAAGAAATCAAGGACTTTTCAACTTCCCATGCTTTGCTAGTGTGCAGGTGCACAAGCTGGGAGGGAAGGCAGTGTCTCACCCACTCCTTTGGGGGGGGGCCGGGGAAGCAGAAAGTAAGCAAGCAGCTGTGTGGTATTTGGTGGTCTGCTGGATTAAAACCATGACAATTTCCCATCCCCTCAGGCAGATTAAATACATTATGCTGGGCATTTTCTTCTTCAGGATGTTCTCCCACCTTTTTTTTTCCCAGCTCTGACTTACGGTACAGTGACAGCTCATGGTTTACTATTTTTAGCACTCACTAAGACTGTATTGCCCATAGCACACAACAGCAGCATTACATGGCACTTCAGTGAGATAGGGAAAAAGACATACATACATTTATACATATTTATTGTATCTTTGTAAAAGTAGCATTTGCAGTTACTTTTAAGCATTCACCTCTCTTCTGCTTCAAATGTGCACTTACTGAGAGAAACATCTACTGGCTTTGAAGTCCAAGATTAATACCAATAATAATACATGCCAGAATCAAACTTCATTGCCTATTCAATCCTAGAATAACAGGTTGGAAGGGACCTCAAGGATCATTTGGTTCAACCTTCCATGGTGAAAGCATGGTCTAGATGAGATGACCCAGCACCCGCTCCAGCTGAATCCTAAATGTGTCCAATGTTGGGGAATCCACCATTTGCCTGGGGATATTCTTCCAATGGCTGATTGTTCTCATTGTGAAAAATTTTCCTTTTGTGTCCAACTGGAATCTCCCCAGAAGGACCTTGCATCCGTTACCCCTCATCTTTTTCATGTGACTCCTTGTAAAAAGGGAGTCTCCATCTTCTTTGTAGCTGCTCTTCAAGCAGTGGAACATGGTAATGAGGTCTGCCCTAAGCCTTCTCTTCTCCAGGCCGAATAAACCCAGTTCTCTCGGCCTTTCCTCATATGGCAGGTTGCCTAGTCCTTGGATCATCTTCGTGACCCTTCCCTGGACCCTACCCCAGCCTGTCCACATCTTTTTTGCATAGCAGGGACCAAAACTGCACACAATACTCCAGGTGTGGCCTGAACGATGACTTATTTATCTCTGCACGTACTGCCCTTGTTGATGCAGCCCAGCATCCTGTTGGCTTTCTTTGCTGCTGCAGCACACTGTTCACTCATGTTGAGCTTGGTGTCCCCCAGAAGCCCTGGGCCCCTTTCACAGAGCTGCTCTCCAGCCAGGTAGAACCCAGCCTGTGCTGCACTCTGCATGTTTTCCCAGGCACAAGACTTTACATCTGTTCTAGTTCCTGTCATGAAAATAGTATACAGTAATAAGAATGTGGAAAAGGTTTCTGTTAATCTTTTCAATAAGAGGCTGGAGCTGGATTTGCATGACTATACCATCTTCTTGAGTTGAAGCCCGACACCACTTTCCTGAAAACCGAAGCTCACGTAATAACTTTTTTTCCTTTTGCATCCAGCAGGTGGACAAGGCAGTTGTTTTTTCTACAGCAGCTTCATTAGTTGATAAGATTTCCTCATAATCTATAGGAAAACAGTTGCTGTAGACCTTTGTATTTAGAAAAGTCTTCTCTTCATGTAGCAGCAAGAAAATTACTTAAAGTCTGGCATGTAGTTAAGAGAACTGGGAACAAACCAAATTTCACCCTCAGATAAACAGTTAACTACTATAGATTTCAATCTAACCCACGCACAAAGTTTTACACATACTACAAATAGAAACAGAAGCTATTGGCAAAAGACTATTCTTACATTGTTTCAAATTAATTTTGCATCTATACAATTTAACTGTAATAGAAAAAGGGAAAGGAATATAACAGAACAGGTATGAAGAGAAATATTTTCCAAACTTTTATTTGTGCACATTCATCAGGTGAAAAAGATAACTTTTACAGCTTCTTTGGTGCCCAATATTCAGCATACAAAAATGTAAAAGACTATTCACAAATAAAACACAAGCTCAAACTAAAAAAAAGGTTTAATGGTAGTGCACATCGTGACAGCTTTGCTTATGAATACACAGAAATTACTGCAAAAATAAATAGAATGTCTTTTTAAAAGCAGCAATTTCATTTCTTGTAAACTTCTGTTTTTACAATACAGCACTGTTAAAGAGTAAAATCCAAAAGAACTGGAGTTTATACTGTGGCCATGAACAAGTAAAAGTGTCTTTACTTCTCTGCTATGGTTGGTCCAGTTTTCCTTTTTGCTTTTAGTCCAATGTGCAGCAGTCTTTAAAGGTGCTTGGTTAGGAACCTAACCATCAGTGGTGAATTATAAAACTTATTTCCTGCTTTCAAACACGAATGGATAAATCTGTTCCACAGCACTGGCAACAGCCTTTACGTTTGGCCCTGAGACACATTTAAAAAAAAAAAAAAAAAAAGAAAGAAAAAAAAGAAAAAAAGCAGTCGGAAGAGAAATATCAGAGAATTGGAAATTAAAACAACAAGAGTATGTTTAAAATAACAATATTTTTAGCCACCACAACTTTAAAATTTAGACAAAAATAATTTTGCACCCATTGCTCTCAAATTGAAGCAATGTTCCTCTAATAATTTTTACTGACAAGAAACCTAGCATGAAACCTGCAAGATGCTTTACAGTAGTCAATAGCTAGATTCCAAATAAATAATCTGTCATTTAATTTCATAACAATTAGAGTGCTTTTTGATTTACTGGCTTAAACAGCCCAGAAAGGAAGGCCAAGGCTGAGTGGCAGAGGTAAAAGAAATACTTCTACTTATGCTAATCTTATAGGAATTGGTATTACTCAAAGCCTAGCTAGTTTCATATCTTTTAAAAACTTACCAATAAAAACTACTGCTAAATAATGCTGGATTTAACCCAAGTGTGTTTCAGGGTAGGTTATTTTATGTTTGAAAATTACAGGCTTTCTAGTCTGGATTTTACAAGTAGCTCCATCACTGATGTCAGGACAAAATCTGCAAGCCAAGGAATGGTTGTTGTCTCAGGATGAAGCATATGAAGGTTATCAATCATCATCTATGAGCACTTGGGAAAAGAAAATGAATGAACTAGAGATGCCTTCTAATGGCACTAGACCACTTTATGCAATGAACAATTAAGATTGCAAATAAGTGAGCATTAAGCCAGAATAAATTAATCCTGGATGGAGGTCTGGTGAGGCACATAAACAAAAACATAAATTTCTCATGTGCTTTAATGACTTTTTTCTAACCTCACTTTAGATTTTTAGCAAGGTATGCATTGACCCCAAACAAGCCTGATGAAAGATACCTGCCTTCTGGGCAGATACCGCACCTTTCTTAAATTTGTCTGCTATCACAGAATTCGAGTTCAGAGAAAGCCTTCAGAAAGTGAGAATATGAGTAGGCAAAAAACTATTGTAAAAAAAATTAAAAATGCTACTCCCTGCAGGGTTGAAGAGATGTAAAAACTGGATTATCATTGTAGGGAGTGTGAGAGAAGAAAACAAACAAAACAAAACCCCAAATCAACACCCTCATTGCTCATTTTGGAGGAAGAAAAAATAATACTTCATATTATAGATAAGTTAATTAGTTTTTTCCTCAATAAATATTTTTAAACTCACCCCATTAAAAAGAAAAACATCCTCCTATTTTCTTAATAGCATTTCTGATGTTGTATCTCAAAGTATTTAAGTTTGTGGCGTGACAAGTACTAGTACTACAGAAATGTGAATCATCAAAAGGAACCTCATCTGAAGGCACTTGAGCAGGAGTACAGTAACGATGCAAAGTAATCTAAAACATTTTTAGAACAAGAAGTGTAAGATCGTGGACATTATTTTTCCCTTAGAAGAAAGGCCTAGGCAAAACAGAAGCCTTCAAAACTGATGTCTGAGATATTTCAAACTCACTGTACCAAAGAAACCAGAATGTAACAAATAAACCAGGAGAAATGCTTACTACATTCACCTACATATTAGAAAGGACAGTTCTGGAAATATGAAAGTGATTTGTCCCATATATGGAGTAATAAGAACCTTACAAAGGGCTAGATCTCATTAGGATGCTGACAAGACACACTGAGAGCCTTCAATTACTGCACTGATAGTCAAACTTCTTAATTATTTTAAATTGAGTTTCTAGTTTTGGCTAGTCCAGTTGCTCTGCTCAGCATGTATACTGCAATCTTTAAATACTTTTTAAGGCCTACATTTTCATGTTACCAAATCTGATGGAGTTTCAAATCTTGGGAGAAACATTTGCTATAAAGCCTAGGTATTTGTTAAGGAATTAAGATGTGAAAATAAAAAACACTACCCAATTTCAGAGTACATGAGCTCTGGTTCAACCACAAGACAGAATTCCCACTAAAGTGATAAATTTTTTTGGTTCTATACCATTTTAACATGTATTCTCTAAAAAACCTGACTTACTGTATCTGAAAACCTGTGGTGGACACCTCACAAGCAAACATAACAGAGTGGAAAATGAGAATTAGGACAAGAGAGGAAAAACCTTGCCATGGCTTATCTAAGACCCAGGACAATCATGTGTCTGACTACATGGGAAAAATCACTGATGCCTGTGATTCAGGTGGTGCTTCTCTCTCAGTTGCGCTTTAACAGAAAATGGCACAAGTCTGAAGAACTGCAAGCATTGGTTACCTTCAGCTATGACAAAATGCTATGCTATCCTATCCATTTCCCTAAATCTCCAGCTTGGAAACATGTATTTATGAAAGGTATCTTAATGCTACATGCAGCATAACTTATAGCATTATGACGACAAGAAAGAAAACACAACACAACAAAACAAACAGGAGGAAAATGCAAATAGTTAATTACACAAATAACCCCTTCATTCTCAAGTCCTATCTAATTTTTGTTTTTATAAAAAACACTATGTATATTCAGTCAAAGTTTTTTTTAATTCTTCTGGCACTTTTCACTGAGAAACAAACTAGGTGCTAGCACTGGTAAACAAAATCCCTTCAACATATCTTTTGACTGTTTTAAACATTTTATTTTCCTAAACCTACTCACTCTATAAATATTCCCAACAAGTTAAATATTTATTTTTGACATAAAAATACCTGTAACTGTGATACTGCCTGTGGAAAAAATCTGTAAGGTAGCTCTGAGAGTTTTTATTCTGTAACACACGGCAGGATGAAGTTCTGGTTCATAACTAGAAAACAAAATAAAAGGTAAAAAAGATAGACCTAGAACTGAAAAAAATAAAATCTTAAGAAGTATATGAAGATTATAATGCTTTAAAATCCTACCATACCTCGCATGAGGTCTGTTATTCTTCGTGAATTCTGGCAATCTGATCTCAAAGGGCATGTTGCACACTGCTAAAACATTCACAACTTTAAAATCTGTGAAAATTACCTTTTCAAAAGAGAGGGGAAAAAAGACATTAGAAATTCAGTTTAAAGTGAGGCAGATGTATGGCTTGCAAAATAAAATAATTAGAAGAATGCTAATTAAGAGTATTTTGATGAGATTTCAAAATGAACACCTTGCGAGTGCTGCCTTTCTAATAGGAATCTAAACAGTGCTTAATGGACTCAAATCACTTACTTTATCCTTCTATAGTACAGTAATTGTTGAACTAGATACTTCACAGTTGTATTACATGGTTATAGTACAGTTAAAGAACCAGATACAGAAGCAACTCATAATGCTGTACTAAGCACTTCCAAATCGAAAAGAAACTAAACAGCTCACAAAGCATCAAAATAAGCAGACATAAGCTTACATTTCATTGTTACATGAATTTTATGCAATTTGAAAACTTCTTTAATACCTTGTTGCTATACACTGTTTTTATTGAAGCTAAGAAATAAGAACTAAAAATAAGAAGAAATCAGAAAAAAGGTGACTTTATTTTTGTTTCAAATCTCCAGTGGCCAGTATGGCAAGCTGTTATGCTACTCCCATTACTTTCTGAAACCCAGGACAAACTACTGGCTCTCAGTTATTCTTTACCACAGCCATTTTAGATGACAATAAAATAGCCCACATAAAATTCTTAAACAAACAAATGCACTGCTAAGAAGTCAGTGTTGACAACATCACTGAAGAAACTTATGTTCATTTTCTAAACCTGCCTAAACTTAAAACGACCATTCCTCAGACAAAACTTTTTAGAAAACCAGCAGAAGCAACTTAGCCTTACAAAAGCTCAATTTATCAGTTTATTCTTCAAAATACATTCCACCTAAACTGCTCACTTTATAATAAAATTTGGTGTGTTCATCTTGGAAGCACTGTTTACCTTACCAATTTAATGTTCCATTCCAACTTTAAGAGGCTGGGTCTGTGTCTAGTGTATGCAGACGTACCAGTAAAGAATCTCTAACTTCTGCTTGGGTCTGATGCAGAATTACCAGGACAACCTGTCATCACTGCCTTTATATACTGCCACCACAGGTAGTCCCTCCTTGCCAAAAGACAATCACTGTGTCTATTTAATTGCCTGTCTGTAAACTGAAGCTATTGGTAAACAGCACAACTGACTACTAGGAAATTTTATAGTACTAAAATACGCCATGTTAAGTCACACATGTTGCTGTTTTTTAACCTTTGTTATGAAACACTAGTTGTGCTTTGATTGGTAATGTTAACTCAAACCCAGAAAAAAGAGAGGAGTTTAATATCCTAAGTATTTTACTTGGCTTACTTCCTGCTGTGCAATCTGACAGCACAGAAGCACTTTTTTTCCCTCTCCTTAATTAAAGAGGCTCAAACTCGCCCTTAACAAATGGACATGTGCCTGCTATTCCATGAGAAAGAGAAAACAATGTTCAAATGACAGTTAGGTTTATACTCTTCAGCATTCCTTCCAAGTAAATCTTTCAAGATACTGTAGATGCTATCCAAGAAACATCTGTGGGTGGTTCATTTATTAAACAAATGTTGTTGTTCATTAGCCAGTGAAGAAGCACTATTCTGAGCTTGCCAAACGAAACTCAAATCTACAAAATAAACCAGTTTCTCTTTAACCAGCACCTGGAAAGTGTATGCCAACACAAAAGGGGGGTATGAGTGAAAACATGCTCACTGCTAAATGGTTATGCTCCTTCATTCTTGCTTCTTTCTAAAAAATGGACTACCAGCATTGCTTGAGTCATACAAGTCCTTTTTCATTAGAATTACCTGAAAACCTAGTTTCTGAAGACTACGAGCTAATCGTCTGGCACCAAATTTAGCTTCTTCTTCACTGTAAGGGAAAAAGAAAGGAATCTAGCATTAACAGAAATAGAGTACATATTTGTGAGCACGCATACCACAAGAGCCACTCAGACAGAAAATGAACCCGTTACATCATGTAGTGCATGAACTATGATCACGTGGACAGCCTTCATGTTATCCTGCTCTACGTATTACGTTTTAACTACCTAGATATGCAAACAGAGCCCTTTATGCCCTGTTTGAAGAGTATCTTGGTACTTGGCTGAGGTGAGTCATATTTTGGTCATACATGGCACTAAATACTCTGAAGATACAAGTATGATCATGGGTAGTCTGGACTTAGCATCCTGAACAACCATCTTCCATTTGAGACAGAGATCATATATAGAAAGTATGCAAACTTAATATTGTACCTTATCTTTACTCCACGATGCAGACATATCTTAAAGGAATTCAGCAGTTAAGAATTTAGCAACTCTCAGATGTAGCTGACTTGAGAGTGTGCTTTTGGTTCTTTCTAGTTTCTCAACAATGTATAACTTGTTTTAATTCAGGTGGGTTTTCATGAAAAGATAAGAGATCTCGCTCAGAAAAAGTCATCCCTTTCGAAGTTTCAAGTTTTGGCTAAAAACACAGTTCTCAAATCCAGTGATCCATTGTGAGTGAATATTAACAGTGGCAAGCACTGCCTTCTGCCATGTTCTTAACCTGCAATATTGTATTTTGAAATGCAAAATAATTTACAGTTAGAGAAAGAATCTTCATTAACTCACCTTGTGGCTCCTGTGCAAATAACTTTTCCTGAGGACCAAATGGTGGCTGTAATCCTAGGTTTCCTAAGCTTCATTAACACTTTCTATAAAGAAAAACAAAAATGGAAGAATTGGGAATTAGTGGTAGTTCAATTTCATACTGGAAACAAAAGTAGCCAACTGCCAGATAAATAAACTGTTACAATAATAATACTTCCTGTATTTTTATAGCCTTAACTGTTTTTTCATCTCTTTCAGTAAATAAAAAAAACAAACAAGAAAAAAAACTCCTGAGACAAGCAAAATAAGTACAGAGTATCTCAGCCAGTGATTCAGAGTTCACAGAACATTAAATGAAGGTATTTTCCTCCAAATAAAAAGCTGAATGCCATGAACACTGTCTTTTTTTGTTTCTTATTACAGTGACACCCGCATTACTGACTCCTTATCAGAATATATTTTCTTGACAAACCACCAAATTCTGGGAGGCAAAATGGATCCTGAGGTGTAAGAGGTCTCATCACACACCTTATACCAAGTATTTACCTCACTAGTTGTAGTCTTTTCAGGTGATATTTACCTACTCCCCTGACTGCACATTTAGTGTATGACAAACTGCATGCTTAACAAGACATAAATACAGAAATAAAACTATGCTTTTTTCTATCCACTAGATATCAGTCATAAGAATGTTTAGCTTAAGAAACATTGGTAAAAACAGGTAACTGAGGTATGTTGAATCCCTTACCCCAACATCACGCTTGTATATCACATTTGCTCCCTCTAATGCGATCTTCCTCAAGTTTAAATGACATCTTGTTTTAAAAACACACACTACATTTGTGATTAAAATGTCCAATGCAACATCACTGTCTGCATCCATTGGGGTGATTTACAACTCAATCTTCCCACCAGCTCACCGTGAAGATCACATCCTGAGAAATGAAAATGGTAAAATTAAACATACCAGTAGAAAATTGCCTATTAACGCTATTATATACATCTGTCCCTCAAATGAGACAGGAAGCAGAAGTGACTACACTCTGACTCATGTAAATTAACTAAATGTGTTTGGGGATGGGAAGAGTCTGCATCCTGTATGCTAGAAAATGTGAGGTTACTTGTTTGAAGCCATGTTGCCAGACTTAACAGAAATAAAGCACATATATATACAAATATATACATTTATATATATATAAATATATATATAAAAAAAATAGCTAAACTTGCCAGTTAAATATGTTACAACTCTTACCACCTATATTAGGACAGAGTAAAGATTACTGAAACTTTTTCCATAGCTCCAGTGGATAATCTTTTCTCAGCTCATTTGAGAATGTCATTAGACACTTCAGGAAAATGTACTTATGTGACTGGTGAAGTTGATAATTCTGAACAGATTGACATTTGTGTTGGAATGGATAAGACTACTGAATAACTCCAAACTAAGAAGGGTCACAAAGACTGCAGTCTGTAGACAGCCTGCTACCACAGCTTTCCCATCTTCATCCGGCACTCTTGGCCTAACTCTCTGAATCTAATAGCACAATGGGAACTATACAAAAGGTTCTGGTGGTAGCAGCAGCCTGGTCTGAGCTGCAGTGGCCTCTCACCCCTTCGGCACCGCCCATGGGAACAGCACAGAATGAGTGCATTGTACGAACAGAATGACAGCCAGTGCCTCTGAGGAAATGCATAAGGGACTGTGAAGGCAGAGCATGGCTGCCCAGGGCACACACAGTAAGCCTAAGGAAGCCAGAGAGCATCCAGTCTGCCCATGCACACCAAGGACAACACTCCTAACACAGCTCATCCATGGGAAGAGGATAACAAGACAGGGACTTGGGCTACGGCTCAGCCCAGTGCGGGCTACCCCACATTTCTTCTGTAAGAACACCAAAGCCAAGAGAGCAGACAGCTCAAATACATCTCAGGTGAAGTATTTTGGGAAAGCAGAGGGGAAAAGAACAAGAACATTGGTATACAGTGAAAAGGACTTGCATCAAAAGTTCTGTTGTTCATATAAGAATTTTTGGTTTGTAGAAGAATGTAAAAATCTTAGTTTTACTCCAGGAGAAGGAGCTTAAGTAGGACACAGCCTAACAGACAGAGGCAATATTATCTTGATCCATTAATCTAAATTTTTAGTAGTATTTAATCCAAAATGAACTCAACAGAAAGCAAAGAGCAAAATAAAACAGATTTATGAAATACTCTCCATGGTTATTGTGATGGAAAAAGTGGAAGACTGCAGAACAATAATATACAAAACAGATTGTAATGCATTTATATCACTTTAAATGCTTTGGCTTTACATTCTATATCAGAAATCCTCAAGACACAAAGTTAACATTATTAGTAGTATTTTTATCTGACTATTACTTCCTAAACATAATGCCATAGTCTCTAATCAAGAACTCATTCAAGGTGCTTGACTACAACTCACTGACACTACAGAAGCAATAAACTACAAGGCAGATGTGCATCATGTACTGGGTCAACTGCTGGGATGGTTGCTGCTTCTACTGTGCACCTTTTTCCTGGCTGAGGGAATTATTCTGGAATTGCTGGCTTGTCCAATATAAGGAAAGGCAAGATGGGTGTTAACACAGAAAAAAGATGAAGAAACAGCAAGAGAAAATGAGAAAAAACAAAGGCTATGTGTAGGGGTGCAAGGCAAAGCAGGCAAAGAGGAGAACAAACAGTAACTAATTGGCATTCCAGATCCTTTTTTTAAAAAAAAAACCCCACAACATAAAACAAAACAACAACAAAAAATCCCAACAAAACAACAAAAAAACATGAATCTTCTAAGTTACAAGTTACTTATCCCATCTGGTTTTGATGGGACTACTACAGATTGGGTTAGCAATTCATGGCACTATATCCAGAGATAGCACATGTGCAGATTTTGACTGGCATGCAGAGAGCAAGGAGCTGGAACCCATGGCATCTTCAGAGAGGCATTTGTTTTCCACCCTGGCTCCAACTCCTGGCTCTCACTGAGGTCACTTACTGGAACGCAGGAATGACTGCTGTATAAGAAAACAACATACCTCCAATCAGCAATGTCTCCCAATTATCAGCAAGTTTCTACTGCCACCCTTGATCTCTACATTCTGAAAGAGTAACACCATCATGCTTAAGAGCCTTGAGAGGTTGCTAACTTCTAAGCAAACCATAACACTGAACAGTAGTGTCCCCATAAAACTCTGATGGCTTGTTTTAAATAGATCTGGGGAGAAAAGATACATGCTAATTCAAAGAAAGGAAAAACTGGCTGAAAGAGAGGAAAATTAAAATTTAAAAGGAAAAGATCTATCATTAAAGGGTGTTTTACAGGAAAAAAATGTTCATATGCTGTGGAGCTGTCAGTAGGGATGTTTTCAGGAATTATGGTCTATCTTGGTTAGGGGTACAAAGTACTTGCATAGGTTTTTAATGGGAGAAAAATTACACAATGTTACAGTAGTGTGCTCCCATTTTCATTACTCATGTTCTGAAAGTGCAAGAAAACAGATATTTAAGCAGGAGCTTGTCAATCTGAAACTTAGTTTGAGCTGTAGCTAATAAGGGGCATAATCTGCTACAGAAGCAGTATCTGAATACAGTGTAAAAATACTGAAAGCTACCTTTATTCTACTTAAACATTATTTGAACTAAGAGGAGCGTTTAGTTGTTACTTTTCATTCAAATATTAAATATTTCAAGTATTCATTACAATTTGTTTCTAATTTGTATTGAGAAAATTCTACTTGCTGCTACTGAATACTGCCTGAGTTCTCTGAGAACCCAAATCTAAGTGTCAACAATTCTGAATACACCCATTCCCATTTAGTATAGGTTAACCTCTTCCAAGGCATGGTTTAGAAATATTGCACAAACCAGAATGTTTCTAAACTTGGATACTTCTGTCCAAGCTATGAGTGAGAATAATCTATTAGAGACTCTGCCTTAAGCATTCATTTTCATGTCTCATGCTGTACTGAAAACAAAGAAAAAAATCTAGAGAAAAGACATCCTGCTTCCTTTCTGTGGGAAGTCTCAAAGAAATCCAAATTCATATAACCGTGTGAACAGAAGCAAGTGAAACGTTTTTTAAAAATAGTAATACATGCACTATATATGAAAAACATCTGAAGAACATGTTTATTAAAAAGGTGTAACAATGTTCTTGAGAGAGGGAAAGGGAGGAAGACAGAGTGATAGATGTTGTTCCTATTTACACGTATCTTCAGTAGCATGACTAGCTGGAACTAGATGGAGTCCTAAATAACAACCTGATCCTCCTCTTTCCCAGGCTTCTCTTGGATACACACACGACTGTATCCCTGTTGCACGGCCCTGACCCATTATGTTACTTCCCAAAACCTGAATTTCTGCATTTCTATCTGCTATCTGCATAACGGGGGAAATAATGCTCCCATGCTTTTACAAATGCATTTTGAGATCAAGCAACAGCCTCACACACAAGCCTGTCACTATTCCATATTCATGGAGTTACACTTGCAGAACAGAGGGACTGAGTAAAAACCAAACATCTGGTTATTTCCAGTCCTGGATTTGCAAATGCCTAAATTGATTTTGTTGAGCTCAGCTTAGGTTTTGTTAGTTAATTTTGCCTAAAGGTTCTCTCATCTGAACCTTGGAATTTTGGTAGCTCAAATCTCATATTTTGCCAGTTAATGCTGATTTAATAATAGGCTAAAAATTAAAAGAAAATATTTTGTCTCTATATGCAGCATTTCTTTTAAAATGTGTACTTCAATTCAGCTTTCTACAGCACAAGAAACTAGACAACTTTGATTTTAAGTTCTCTTGCACCAGTGTATCACTGTCTACCCTGACAGAGAGAAAAAAGCTGAAATACATCTCTGCAGAAGTTTGTATTTTTTTATAGTAAAAAGGAAATTTTAAAAAGTTTGTTATTTATTTTCAACATAGATTTCAGGTACCCACCTGAAATATTACCCTAAGAAAAAAAAAAGAGGAAAGGAAAAAAAAAGGAGATAGGTAAAGGATTATAATACGCATGAAAATAATAAAAACAACAAAAGCTAACTCAAGAGTATTTGACACTGTAAAGAAATGTCTTCTACACTGAAAGTAAAGAAACTTCCCAGAATAAGAAACAGAGGAAGGAATGAGCACTCAAATTCTTAAACAAAGCATTACCCACCCATACATCCCCAGTTAAGACCATGGTCATACTATTTTAGATACTATATAAACACATGAAAACAAACACCCTGCACTGAAATCTTACCATCTAAAAAAAGCCAGTGCTCTTATTCTTAAAAAACTTCCAAACTAAACCAACCACACCATCATCATCAAAGAGAGAGGAAAGGCACTTGGGATGGGGCATATAAACAGAGTATTATTTTAAGCTTTTGGATACCAAAGAAACTCAAGAGCTATAAAGGTAGATGAGGGATATCTAACAATGGTTACACTAATGTCAGAACAGTTTAATAAACACCTTTTTCACCAGCAGTCTGAAGTATAAGCAACTTCTACTGGTTATTTTTAACCTTGCTCCAAAGCAGTTCACCAACTGAGCAGTCCCACAAACAGTTCCAACAGCCCAGCTGAAGGGATGTCAGTCACTACTGCACCCAGAGGCATTTGTCAAACTAGTACTTGAAAAGCAATTCTGAAGAAGTTAACAGAAATTCACCTTCCAATGAAGGTGAATATTTTAAGATCTGCGTTCAGCCCCTCAAGAAACAGGTCCTTAAGAAAAGCTGGAGGTGACAGACCTCAGAAAGCTGCTTGAATTCAGCCATGGTGGCAGGTGAATGACTCCCCAGCAGTTGGAAGGGACCTTAAAGATCATCTACATCCAAACCCCATGCACGGGCAAGGACACCTCCCACTAGATCAGTTTGCTCACGGCCCCATCCAACCTTGACCGCTTCCAGGGAGTGGGCTTCC